CAACGAGAGGACTCAGCCATATATATACATGTATCCATTCTCCCCCAAATCCCCTCTCATCCAGTCTGCCACATAACATTGAGCAGGGTCCTTGTTGGTTATCCATTTTAAATATAGCCACCCCAAACTCCCTGACTATACCTTCCCTCCATCTTTCCCCCATCCCCTGGCAACCATAAGTTCTTTCTCTAAGTCACTGAGTCTGTTTCTGTTTTGTAAATTCATTTGTATCATTTCTTTTTACATTCCACATATAAGGGATATCATATGATATTTCTCCTCCTCTGTCTATCTAATGTAGATTTACCTTTTTCTAATTTACATGAGGCTTGTTAATCCAGTCTCCTGTCGGTAAACACATAGGGGACTTCCCTGATGGTCCGGTGGTTAAGAATCCGCCTGTCGATGCAGGGGACACTGGTTTGATCCCTGGACTGGGAACTAAGATCCCACATGCCTTGGCACAATTAAGCCTGTGTGCTGCAAATAAGAGAAGCCACCTCAATGAGAAGCCCACTTGCCACAATTAGAGAAAGCTTGTGTGCAGCAATGAAGACCCAGTGCAGCCAAAAATAATAAATAAATATAAACACATGGGTTGTTTCCAAATTCCAGATTTGTAATAAATTGCAAATTTGTTACAAATAAAGCTGGAGGGGACATCCTTAAGTACACTTATGTGACTACTTCTGTGGGCTAGTGTAGGGTGTCCAATTTAAAATCCCCTAGAAGTGTATGCACAGGCCCACCCACTGATTGTGGGACATGGTGACATGTCCACTGGTTTTTTCATGCAGTGCAGAGAGGTGCTTCTGATGTTTGTCCTTCACTGTGGACACCAACCTGTAATCAGGATGCCAAGTGGTATAGGAATTTGTCCATTTAGCAGCCCTGGGAGAGCCTTAGAAAGTCTCATTGTTGGCTCAATGATTTATAGGTAGGAAAAGTGAAAATCAGTTGCTGGTTCTAGTTTCTGGTTTTGTTTCTTGCCTGATGCCACCTTTTTTCCCCTTCATCATCTCTACTCAATTCAAGTATCAGCACAATCTCAGCTGTCACAACTCTCTGATGCAGTTCCCTGCTTATCAGGTTCTCCTGTTTGAGCCATACCTGTCACTGTCCTTGAGTCTTGCTCAGCCTCTTCCCCACCTAAACCATCTTCCCTTCTTCCAAATATAGGGAAAAAACTCCCCGTGTCTTTTCAAGACCCAGATGAAATCCTGCTTCCTCTCTGAAACCTTCCTGGTGATAAAACCGCATCCCGATTTCTAGGCTCTAAACACACCTGCAGACAATGGTCTTTTGCAGTCCTGACTGCTGGTACTTCATGTCTTCCCCAGTAAGACTGGAGGCCAGTTGAGGGCAGAAACAGCTTTTTCTAGAGCAGGGAACAATGCTTATTAGTACAAAGTCAGCACACTTGATAGCACACGGTAGGTGCATTCTCTCTTTTATTTTCTTTTTTAAAAAAATACTTATTTTTTTACTTGGCTGTGCCAGGTCTTAGTTGCAGCACGTGGGCTCTAGTCCCCTGACCGGGGTTTGAACCCAGGCTCCCTGCATTGAGTGTGTGAAATCCTAGCCGAGGGACCCCAGGGAGTCCCCCCCGTCTTTCGTTTTTTGCACTGGTATTTAAGGCAGCATAATCGCCTCAGGCTAATATTGCAGGGTTCCGCTGACTTTGGCTCTGTAGTATAATCAGTATGACTAGGCACCAACAAAGTAAGATTTTTAGGAGTTACAGAAGCTGGTTTCCATGAACGAAATCAAGCGTGTCTCTCAGTTGACAGTGACTCTGAATCTGTATTCCATGGAAACACACAGCAGCTACACAGAACGCCTTTGGCACTTGTGCCCTGATGAGACAGGAGAGGAGTGGGGTTGGGGTGGTGGTTGGCGGGCTGCAGGGATCTTCTCCTTCCACCTGAGCCGACCAAAAGCAAAAGGTTTAAAGTTGCTGGTTCAGATCTTTGTGACCCTCTGATGCGGATGCACTGGGTTGGCCAAAAAGTTCATGGAAAAACCTGAACCGACTTTTTGGTCATTCGAATAGCTTGTGGGGTCCACATGATTGTGACTCCCCTCTTTCACACAGTTGTATGTATTGGCCAGGGTCCAAATAAGAGGCAGAGAGCACCCCCAAACTGATTTATCAGAGGAGAGTTTAGTAAAGGTTCGACGGCAACATGTGGGCAGGGTTTAGGAAATCAGTGAGGTGCCTGCAGTCCCATCTCCACCACCACGCCCCCCACCCCTCCCTGGCAGGCTGGCCTAAAGGTGAGGACAGGGACTGGAGCCTGGAGCGGACCCTGGAGCTATAGCCGAGAGCTTCCTGGCAGATACTCTGGCCGATCTGTGGACCTATTTGTGGCCCCGTGACTGCCTTCTGAGAACTAGACCCCGCAGGAGGCCACAAGCCCAAGTGAGCTTGTTGGTGCAGTTTGGACAGGTCAAAATCCCAGACTGCTGCCTACCTGAAGGTCATCAAGTGATCTTTCTCCTACCCCACGTGGTTTGTAACAGGCACAAGGCAGTTTCCCTACCACCTGCTGTAGAGGGACGTGTGAATCGTTTTTGTCTCCTCTGCTAACTCTCCAGCCTCATCTCTCCCATGGCCCTGTGGCCCAGTCTTCACTTGAGCCTCATCATGCTCCCCACCCTTGTCATGCCACATCATTCCTCTGGGTCCTGTTTCTTTTCCCTTCCTCCTCCTCATCCCTCCCTTCAGCCCCCTTCCCCTTCCTCTACTCCCTCTCCCTCTCCTTATAGCCTTTTAAAGTGCACAAGTTGGGACTTCCCTGGTGGTCCAGTGGCTAAGACTCCATACTGCCAATGCAGAGGGCCCTGAGTTCAATCTCTGGTCAGGGAACTAGATCCTGCATGCTGCAACTAAGATCTGGCACAGCTAAATAAATATATGAATGAATAAATATTAAAAATAAACTAGCAATCTGGTGGCTAAGATGATAACCTGGTTATCTGGTGGCTCCCTGGTTTGGAAAGATTCCCTGGAGAAGGGAATGGCAACCCACTCCAGTATTCTTGCCTGCAGAATCCCATGGCCAGAGGAGTCTGGCGGGCTACAGTCTATGGGGTTGCAAAGAGATATGACAGCAACTAAAACAGACACACAGAAATCTTTTAAAAAATAAAGTGCACATATCAGTGATGTTTATTATATTTCCAGAGCTGTGTGGCTATCCCCCAGTCAAATTTAGAGCATTTTTATTTCCCCAGCAGAAGCCCTGGATCCATTAGCATTTACCCCCGCAACTGTTTACATTTCCTGCCAGCCCTGGGTGACCATGAATCTGCTTTTTGTTTCTATAGATTTTCTTACTCTAGACATTTCCTATACATGGAATCATACAATATTTGTCCCTTTTGTGTCTGGCTTCTTACATTAGCATCATGTCTTCCAGGTTGATCTGTGCTGTAGCATGATTCCGTGCTTCTTTCCTCTTCGTGGCCAAATAATACTCCACTGTATGGAAATACCCCACTTTATTTATGCACTCATCAGGTGATGGGCATTTGCATTATTTCCACTTTGGGGTCATTAATAGATAATGTTGCTCTGGACATTTGTGTACAAGTTTTTCTGTGGATGTATAGCTTCCACCCTCTTGGGTTTGTACTATTTTTTCAGCCCTGCCCAGAATACCTTACCTTAACTTGGCTAACTCACTGGTATCATTCAGTCCTCAGCAGGGGTCTGTTTGCTCTTTCTCTGAGGACTTTTCTCAGACTCCTCCTCCTCCCTCACAAGCTACCTCTCCTCTGGTCCCTCATAGCCCACGCTTACCCAGGTTGCAGGCTCTTCCCATGACACTGTCATGATTGATTTTATCCCATCTTCCCTTTGTTGGCCTCTGAGCCCCAGAAGGATAAGAACTGTATCAGTGGATGTTTAACACCTTAGGTTGTGCTTGGCATGTTCATCAGTGAAGGAATGGATGGATGGGTGGGTGGATGGACAGATGGATGAAAGCAGAGTCTGTCCTACAAGTCTGCCTTGAAGATGGATCTATGAAATGAATAGATGAAGGTCCTGTTTCCTGACACAGAGGAGCAAAAAAGTAGTGTCTTTACATTCTTTTTTAATCACAGAAGATGCCTATGTAAACCCATCTAGGTCTGAAAGCAGAGACAGGTGTGTGTGTGTGTGTGTGTGTGTGTGCACTCACAAATGCATGTTTAGAGAAGGCTGCTACGTGGACAGGGCTTTGTGGGGAGGGGCAGCACCAGGACCACCTTTGGGGGAACCTTTCCTCCCAGATCGGAGCTTTGGTATCTAGCCGCTGTCACCCATCCCCCTCCCTGACACTCAGGGCTGGCAGTGCAGCAGTCCAAGGCGCTGACATCATCCCAGCGGCTGTCTGCACGTGCCTACTGACTGAAATACGAATCTTTATTTCTGCAGGTTGGTGAAAACCCTGTGTCCTGGAGAAAGCTGGTTCCTGTTTTCCCAAGGGGGAGCCCAGAGCTTGAAAGGCCACAGTTGGCACTTCGAGAAGGAAGTGGAGAATAAATACAGCGCCTGGAGCAATAGTAGCAACGAGGAACGGGACTGGGGAAGCCCTCTGGATGTCCAGCTGCAGAAACAAGACACCCCAATGCTATTTACATACAGCTTTCTATATATAAAAAAAAGAAAATATGAATATTACTATTCAGTGCATGCCTTGTCGAGGACGTGGTCCCCTCCCTTTTCTGCACCTTCCGATGTGAACTCTGATGCTCTGTCATGTCTGGGGGCACTGGAAGAGAGATGCTTACTGTGTACCTAGAAAATCTGCAAAGACTAGTTGGAGTTAGCCTCGGAGGCGACCAACTGCCTGGGAAGGGATGCTGGTGGAGGAAGAGGTGAAATGGCAAAAGGCAAAATAGAAAAAAAAAAAAGTGAGGAGGACCTGGGGCCAATGTCGTAGAGGCAGAGCCCGGGGATACTTCCATTTCTGTCTTCACAAATCCTAGCCTCTCTCTGTCTACCTAGATAGATGGCTAGTCCCGCTGTCACATCAAGACAAAAGGCATTTTTTTTCCCCCCAACCAATCTGGTGTCTCTGGTGCTTCACTTAAATCTTGCTGGTGCTAAGCGTGTTCTTGCTGGTGCTGCCATGGTGTTCTGTTGCCAGACCCGCGAGGCCAGGGAACGAGAGAGATGTCTATTTTGCTGTTTTGGATTCTTTTTTAAAAGGGATCAGTCACAAAAGTGCCACTTGAGAGTCTTTTCTCTTTCTCTACGTGGGGATGAATATCCAGAGGTGTTTTGGAGCAAACCTTGGGGTCTGGGAGGGAGGAGGTGGGTGCTGATGCCACTGAGTGGCTTGCTGGTTACGAGATAGAAAGCTGACCTCATATGCGGCTTGTTTGCTGTCTCTTCCACCCCCACAGAAAGTATCCTGGGAGTTCAGTCCACAGCCTCCCCCATACCCCAAGGGGATTTCAGGGCTTAGGTTTTATGGATTAAAGAGCCAAGAAACGGCTAAGTTCTGGTCAAGGGTGATTTATAAGCCAGGGATGTTGGGGGAGGGAGTGGGGTCATTTAAATGAAATGCACCAGCATCTCACTGACTGAAGGTCTGATGTGTTTTTTTTTCTCCAGGATAAGCTACTATTTTCAGAAGTTTCTAGAAGGGCTAAAAAAAAAAAAGATGTGTGCTGGACTGAGACTTGGCTGCAAAGACTCTTCAGGGAGTGGTGATTATTTTTTGCTTTCATTAAAAAAAAAATCCAACAACAACAGGTATTATTCCTCTGTGCAGGGTAAGGGTACACCCTACGGTTTTTAAAGCTGAGGTGGTGAGACACCAGACTGTGGGTCCAGACAGTCATTCTACAAGGCTGGGTTTGCAGGTCACCACCCAGTACTTGTGGACAGCAGGTGTCCTGGGCTATTCTGCAGACACCTTCCAAGAAGCCAGCAGAGGGATCATTTGTATTAAGACTGACACGGGGCTGAAACAACAGCTCTTTCCCGTGGGCTTTACTGAAAATTACCAGGTCCTTTAGAATGCAGGAGCTTTCAGTGCTGCTGCAAGCTGGGAGCTGTCTCTTTCTTTGAAAAATAAGTAAGTCCATGCCTTATGGTTTCCTAAATAGCCCTTTAAAGAAACATGCAACCCAGAACTGCTGAAGGTGAGGGCAGCTTCCCCTCTCCTCCCAGACAGCTTGGAACTCAGCAGAGCCAAAAGAAAAGCTTGTTTATAGATGATTTGTTTCCCCCATGGCTGGAGCCCTTCCTGCACTTATGTTTACAGGGGATGGGTGTGTAGGCATAGTCAGGGAGCGGCAGGTGACATTCCCACCAAGCCGTCAACTCAGAGAAGGCAAATTCACTAGAATGAGATGAAATACAGTCTCTGCTTTTAGCCAGTCACTTTCCTAGGCAGACGCTAGACTTCCCAGCTGACCCCCTTTTCTGGGGAGGGGGTTTTAATCCCCGTAGTTGTACTCGATCACAGCTCTCTGCTGCTTTAAGGCTGAACCTTCAAGACCACAGTGGGGATGTACTGACCACCTGGACACAGGTTAAAAGGTCAGAGAATCCCCTTTTTGGACCCTGACTAGCTTATGACATTTCCACTGGAGGATACAAACTGGAAGCGTGGGGGTTTGGGGCAATTTTTATTTCAATGAAGTCACACTGCTGAGAGAACTGGGCACCCAGGACCCTCCTGACGGAGCTTTACAGCCAAGTCCCTTGTACATATTCTCTTGTATTATTAGAAACTGTGGATTTATCTAACCCTGGCTTTTTCTTGCACATCATTAATTTGAGTGCATTTCTCCACTGCCCCGATTTTTGACAAGGGGTTGTTTTTAATGCTTGTTTTTATATGAGATTTGACTTCTTGATGGACATTTGTATTAGGAAATTGAAGCATGATATATATGTATATATTATCTCCACCGTCTCTCCCGTTGCATTACTTGGATTGCATGAGATAGTGGGGTGGTGGTTTTTTTTTTTTTTAATATTTCCACAGCATGCAAAGTGCTGGCACTATCCCTCCCTCTCCCCCTTCCCCACCCCCTTGCTTTTCTCTGGCTGCCAAGGAGTCATTGATTTTGATTAGCTTCACTGCAGAGCGTCTGTGAAGAGAGAGAGAGGGAGGGAGGCTTTGAAATAAATTTTAAAAAAGACCTCATATCGGGTTTCAGCAGACAGCAGTGAGAGAGAGAGAGAGAGAGAGTGTGTGTGTGTGTGTGTGTGTGTGTGTGTGTGTGTCCGTGCAAAGCAGAGGGAGGCCTCTGAGATCATCGTTTTGGTAGCTTGCTGCATAATGAGGTGAGGAGCACACAGAAGGGCCTCCTTCATTCTGGTTGCTCTCAGAAGGCAGGGATCAAGGAGCCACAGGGATTGAATCCTCTTGGGACTTCAACATTCCAGATTAGATCCATTCCCTTTTGTAAGCTTCTCTCCCTTACCCCAACTCCCACGAGCAGGGAAGATCTCTTCTCCCTTTTCTAAATTTGGGGTTCCCTTTCCTATCCTGTTGGACATAGATACAGCTGGAGTGATAGATTTCTTTGGAGAGCCCTGTGCCTCTCTGGCTGCTGTCCATGGTCCTAGACGGTGCATTTCGTAGAACCCAGTTCCCATTTTGTTCCTCTTTCACTGGGATCCTGGAGACTTTTCCCCCACTTCTTCCAGTGGTCTCATTTTAAAGTTCTTTTCTAGTTTGGTGAGGGGGAAAGGGTGATTTAAACAGTACTGTCACAGAACAATGGACCTGTGACTTTGCTTTCACAATTCATGTATCTGATCTCATGCACTCCTACCTTTATTTTCATGTTCCTGACAGTGACAAAATATCACTTCCCCTCTTGCTTGGGAAATTAAGAAAGTCCTCTTTGATGCTATACAGATGTCTTTTGGGGACACTGGCTTGCCACTGTGGAACTGTTGAGTGTCCACCTGGTATTAGAGGCTGCAGTGATCAGAATACAGGTTTTGTTTTTCTATGTTGATACCATTTCCTTTTCCAAATGTCCCCCTAAATCCACCTGGGCCCATCACAGGGTCAGAAGCTGGTTTAGGGGATAAGGGGGGCAGGCTAGACACTTTAGCCTTGTCCCATGGGAACTGATGGAGGAAGCTGATGTCAATGTGTCATTTTAAAGTGTAAACCGAAAGTTTACTTTTTAAAAGTTCAATTAATTCATTCAACACCTATTTATTGAGCACCTACAACATGCCAGGTTGTAGAATGTCCTCTGGGAAGAGATTTATGTATTGATCATGGTGGGGTACACCCGCTTAGAACCAGACGATACTCAACGTCTCTTTCCAGTCTGGTTCATGGTCTTTAACAGATTTGTCAGGTCATCGCTGTGACCCCAAGCCTTGCTGGCAGGTTGTTCTACAGAATTTATATTTACTAAGAGCTATACTCGTGAAGGCGATTCAAAAGCCGATGACCTCAGCTCATTCCCAGCATGAAAAGGCTGGTTCTTGCTGCTTCACACAGCAAAGAAGCTGTGCCAAGTGCATTCTGCGTTTACCCCTTAGCTATTCCTCACACCCACGTTGGAAGACAGTGCTGGTATTATTCCCAGTTGAGGAAGCTGAGGCTCAGAGAGGTTATGCAACTTAGCTAAAGTTGCATGCAAAGAGTGAAGTGACTGAGCCAAGATCTGGACTCAGGTTTCTGTGACCCCCGCCCCCCTCTGCTGCCCCGGTCCCACTTCTCTCCAAGCCCATGAGCTAACCATCCTGCTCCACTGAGTTCCTTCCACAGCATCACTAGTTCAAAGGCAAGCACATGCCTGGGGCCCAGTAAGGGGCAGGGGAGCCCCACTTAGGTTGCATTTGGGGGCACTCCAGGATAGGCTGGATGGCTTAGCTGGGGGTTTTCTATCTGTTCCTGGCCCTCTGTGTTCCTGGTTTCTGTAAGGTCCCTGGGACAAGTATCTCATTTGCAAACAAGGTCTGTTTGACTTGGTTCCTAGGACATGGGAAGTTTTTCTCCCTTCCTTGTCTCCTCCCTCCCCAACTCAAACCCCCAATTTCCTCCCCTCAAGGTCTTTTGCACTATAAGCGCCCAGGAACCCCGTGTGTGGTGGGGATGGCTGTGGAGCTGCTTGGATCCTCAGTGAGGCCTCTGACTCAGCTGGAGAGGCAGTAAGCTTGGGGACATTCCGTTCCGGGTTCTACCCTTGCTGGTTCGTTGTGCTCTTTTGTAAGAGGAATTTCATACCTTGGAGACGCTTTGTACATATTTGTAATGACTTTATTAAAAAACAAACAAACTAGTTGTGTGCTTCCAGCCAAAGGCCTTTGCGTGTTCATTTCCTCTTGGAAGACTGGTCCCCAAGGACTAAGGAAGGATCTGGCTGCACATGCCACCCTTCCTGGGGACAGAAGGCCACACACTCAGCTCCTGTCTATTAGGTTCCTGGGAATACCCCAAGGGGAAGATTGGCCTAAGCAGTACCCTTGGGTTGAGCAACAGACTGGGGGAATGTGTCCACCAGCCCAAGGTCAGTGCACAAAAGCATCATTTATGCATGACATCATGTCGATAAGCAAGTGAGCCTACAGACTCATGTCTTCAGCTAAGGATGAATGAACCGCTCTGAGTGGGGTACTTTCACCTGCATTTATCTGGTCTGAGCTGTACCAAGAGACCAAGTTCTAGTTTCTTCCTAAGAACGGTAGGTTGAGGACAGATTGTTTTTCTAGATAATAGGTCTTTTCTTCTTTGGGGACCCACTGCTTCCCCACTCTCAATCCATAAGATTTGGAGGGATGGACTTCCTTTCCCACCCAACTCTGTTCTGACGTCCAGAGCTCAATACCCAATACAAGCTTGTCCAGCGCTCTGAGTCCCCAGAGCTAAAATGATTGGTTTGGGAACAAACTAATGAGAATAAGGCTCAAGACTCCTGCTGGAGCTTCGGGGAAGCAGGGGCTCTTTGCTGAGGGTGTGAAGCTGATAGAAGACAAGCACAGAGCTTCCGGGTGCCCTCTTCCCAACACATGGGATCTGACCGCCTGAAAACCAAAGCATCTCAAAGGAAAACAGAACCGAGGGATGAAGAGACGTGATTCTAATGTCCCTGGAGCCCCTGAATCCAGCTGTGCCTGAAGCCCATGCTGTTACATGAACCAAATAAAGTCCTTTTATTCAAGACATAGCTGACTTGGTTTACCAATAATTGCGACCAAAAGGTTTTGCCTGATGATGCTTGTGTGGCTGGCTTCCTAATGTTGACCCGAGAGGCACCAGTTGTCACTACTGCTATTTATGTTTTAAATACCCATCATCACCTGGGGTCTGGGAAAACCCTTCTTGAATCAGCCCATGCACCTGGTGTCCTTCAGCCTATAGTGAAGGCTGCGGCGGGCACTATAGATCCTTCTGATCCCTCTTGCCAGTCCTCGGTGCTGTCTTGCACCTTTATGTGTTCTATGGCACCTGGCACTTTGAGGCGCCTCCTCAGTGGAGTGCCTGAGAGTCCCTCCCACCCCCCGCATGAGCCCACAGCTGGCAGCACGGAAGCCTCAGGGTGGGACCAACCCTGAGATGCAACTGATGCTCCGGAGCTCCCCGTGGGACCAAGCTGAGCTGGGACTTCCCTGAAAGTTGCCCTCTTGTTGGGCTCCATCTCCTTCCTCTCCCGTTTCACTCATTCCCTTACTGGTTTCTCCTGGGGGCACTTCCTTAATAAATCACGTGCAACTCAATGGGATCCACTCTAGGGAAAAATTGCCATCAAAACCACCCCTTGCACAAAACATCTCTTCAAAATTGTCCTAAAACAGGTCCACCTGGCTTCAAGAGGCAAATGGAGACTCAAAACCTGGATGTAACTTTTATCAACATATCATATTTATTGGCAGACCGCAACTTAAGGGGATGTTAAACACACCAAAGGCGGCTCTGTTTGGCCCAGAGCAAACATACTAAAAGATTCTAGGACTCACTTTATATTTCCTATTTCCACCCCTTGGAAGTCTTGGCAGCTTGGAAGTCTTCCCATCCCTCTCACATGCTCCCCTTAGGAAGATAATGAACCTATGACATCCAGGTCCAAAGCTTGTTTTTTTTTTTTTCAATCTCATATTTATTACACTCAAGATCTTTTACATTAGGAGAGCCATTTCCAAGGACTCCGTGAAACTTTAGCCAGTGAATCATAAAATATTAAGAGCAGGACTCTCCCACCTGACACTCAATTAACCCTGCCTCTAACAAATGAGTTTGCAGAGCGAAGGTGGATAAAAGACAGTGGCATTGCTCTTCCTTTCCAATGGTGACTCTTGGCTGCTTTTACTAAAATCTCGTGTTAGGGAAAACATGCAGCTTGATGTCTGGAAACCTCTGCCCTGGCCTCTGTTTCTCTGCCTTAAGCAGAAGTTAAATCTTCCCACTCCAAAAGGAAACCTCCAGAACGTGACTTTCTGCCAGAGGGTGGGATGAATAAATAAAATCTAAATTAAATCATCCCACCTGCCCCCCGCCCGAGTGTCCCCCGCATGTGACACTCTTTAGTGTTTGAGACACGGCTCATTATTTGCAGAATGTTCAATATTTTTTTTGGTGGCATGAGTATAATTGACAAAATGGTTGGGGTATTCATCAGTAATCTACATCGCTGGTTTCCCTGGCTCCCGTAGATAATGCACCAGGCTTTGTCGCCCTGGAGATGGCTACAGGGAGGCAAAGTGACTTCCCAAAGCCACGCGGAGTCTGAAATCAGAATTCCAGGCCTGACTCCCAGCAGACTGCTCTGTCTGCGCCATCACATGCTGGCACATTAATAAGTCTTCTTCAGTGGCATTTTCTCATGCTTCTTTGATGGCATCTGCAGGCAGGATGATCCTTCTGATAAAAATCAGCTGTAGAAGCTCCTGGTGTGTCCCTTCAGCTCTTCCTCAAGGCAGCAGGGTGGGGGTGGGGGGTAGAGGGGAGAGGGGGCAGAGCAGCCAAATCCGCCTGGCCCCACTTCCCCTTCCGACTTGATTATCCAGGCAAGTGGGATTGTTAACATCACGGCCATTGCCATAGTAACAGAGCTTGAAAGATGCCATGCTGCCCTGGAAGGGATGTCTTGCTGGGTATCAGGAAAGAGCCAGGGAAGTCAGGCAAAGGAAAGGTCCTGACTTGATAGCACAAAAGGGGTGAATGTCCTGAATCTCTTGGGGATGGGATGGGCATGAGAAGCCTGGCTGAGGGTGAGGTGGCAGCAAGGCTCCCACCATTTCTCTAGGATTTTCTTGCTAATCTGCTCAGGAACCACCCAGCTTGCTCTCTCTGTAATGCTGTTGGCACCAACCTGTGGTGCTGAGGTTGACAGTGGGAGAATAGCACTGGGAGGGTGGGTAGGCCAGGCAAGATTCCAGTGGCTTCCAAAGGACCACTTGTGCCTTCTCCCAGATTTCAGAGCAGGGAGGGTCTCGTGGGTGGAGAGCTTGTGTTACAGAGATTGGGAGCTCTGGTAGAGACATTCCAGGAAACACCAATCGCTGCTGTGCTCTCTGCCAGCATACTGGTTTGTGGAAAAAAAAATCCGTAACAAGGATCTTGCCTTTTGCTCTGAAGGCTACCAGGGGAGAAGGCAATGGCCACAGGAGCTGTTGACAAATCTGAGACTTAAATGAGGGACAGGACAAAAGGAGGAGAGAAATAAAGACCGGAAGGGACACCCAGTGACACCTGCATCTGGACCAGAGCCGGCCTTACTCTTTTTTCACTTCTAGGTCACATCCCATGGCATGTGGGATCTTAGTGCCCTGAGCGGGGATCAAACCCAGGCCCCCTGCACTGGGAGCACAGTCTTAACCACTGCCTCTGGGGGAGGCTCCAGAACTGGCCTTCCTTGATGTGCCAAATGCTGTGTTCTATCAGTTGTGTCCGAATCTTTTGCAGCCTCATGGACTGCAGCCCGCCAGGCTCCTCCATCCATGGGATTGCCCAGGCAAGAATACTGGAGGGGGTTGCCATCTCCTTCTCCAGGGGATCTTCATGTCTCCTGCATTGGCAGGTGGATTATTTACCACTGCGCCACCTGGAAGATACCCAATCACAACTGAGCATCCTGGTAGGAGTCCAGCTAAACAGCAACTTTAAGGGCCAAACTTTTCTGTGAACCCAATCACGACTAGATTTCCGGAGCTGGCATTCGCTATTAGCATCCTCAATGCAGTCCAAATGAAACACACTACATACTTGAGTCACCGATGACGTCAGAATCACCTCTTGTGCTTTGAAGAGAAAAAAAAAAAAAACATGACTGAGGGGCCCCACGCCTGCTGTGTCTGAGCAGCAAGTCAGTGTGTGGTTAAGAGGCAGGCTCCAAAGCCAGACGGCCGGGGTTGGAAGCTTGGTCCGTCACTGCTCACCGGGTGACCTGGGAAAGTTTCCACGTGGAGTTCTCAGCTCAGTTTCTTCACCTGTGAAACAGAGGAGACAACAGTACCTCCACCTTGGGGCGGTGTGAGTGTTTCAGGAGGTCGTCTGGGCCAAAAGTTCCAGACTGCCTGGCTCACTCTGAGGGTTCTGATACTGAAGTTCCTGTAGGTATGAGGTGGGGCCAGCATTTGCATTTGAAAAGTACTTCAGGGTGATTCTCACCTTCAGACCTGGGCCCCTGGCGGGGAGGCAGCATTGAAAGGCCTCTCTCCAGTTTGCAGCATCAGGTGTCAGGTCACCACGGGTTATGATCACCAACAAGTAGAACCTGGTCCATTATCAGTTCTTTGACTCAGCGGGAGGAGGGAGACAGACCTTGGTGGAGACTAAGTGTGAGTGAGACGGCGTCCCCATGTGGAGGCGAAGGGTGCGCATGCCATGAATAGAACAAAAGAGGAAAGTGAGGGTGGGGTGGGGGACAGGGGCTGGATGGAGAGAGGCAGGAGGCAGGACAGTCGGAGCCTGAGGGCTGTTTTCCAGGAAGCTCCTAGAGGTGGTCCCGACACCGCTGACCCTCCGTCATCTCCCTGGTGTGCCTGGGAGCCCCGGGGCCACAGTCTTCAGCCCTAGTACACCTGGAAGTGTGCCGAAGTGGCCCCGTCCTTCCAGCAGCGCAGGGTATCCACGGCAACCGAGCGGCAGAGCGGGCAGGTGCGCTCACGGTCCAGCCAGAGGCAGAGGCACTCCTCACAGAACACGTGCTGCGGGGGACAGCAATCAGGACCACTGGGGTTGCTTCCCCCAGCATTCGCTCCATGCCCGCCTTGGTCCTAGGAGCTGAGACCCAGTATGAACAAGACAGACAATTTCTGCCCTGAGTAGTCAAGGGAGGCTTCCTGGAGGTGGGGTGATGCTTGTGTTGAAGTCTGAAGGATGTTTAGGGGTTAACTGGGGGAAGAGAGGGGGTGGGGCTAGAGCATTCCAAGCTGAAGGGAACAGCTGTGCAAACCTCCTGAGATGGGAAAGTGTTTGAGAATCTTGAGATGCTCAATGCGGCTGCAGGGTGTAGGGGAGTGGGGGAGAGGAGGCGAGGAGGCCGTGCCCCAATTCTCACCGTGGCCTGAAGGGCAGGACCCAAGGGTCAGCAAGCCCAGCAGCTCCTTGGGGGCAGTGACTGCTGCTGCTGTAGCCCCACCGCCTAGCCCTGGCCTGCACCCTGACAAATGAATGCCTTCCCAGGCAGGTTAGCTGGGAGAGTCTAGAGATACCAGGATGATGAAGACCTGGTCCCTGGCCTCCAGGAGCTCACGGTCTCCTTCTCAGAGAATCAGACAGAACAGAATCTGGTGCCAAATTAGATTCAAAGCACAAAAGGACCCCAGGGGCTGGGCGGGAGGAGCTCATGACCTAGGACTGCCTCCTACATCTAGAGAAACAAAGGCGTGTCTACAGAGGGAGGGGGCGGAGGGGTCCTTCTGGGCTGGGATGTGCAGCATCAGGTTGGTTTGTTGGTGGGGGATCGCAGGCGGGGCTGGATGGTTAACCGTTCCCTGGCTTATGTCTCTTGGAGTGTGAACTTGGGAGAGATATACTGGGGTCGGGGGCGGGCCACCCTGCCCTCAGGAGATGTTCTATCCATCTTGTCTGTCCCATCCACCCATCCATCCATCCATCTCTCCAACCATCCCATTCCTTCCATCCAGCCAATGTTTACTAAGTCAGTACTGTGGTTACACTACTAAGACAGACATGGTCACCACTCCCAAGTGGCTTACAATCTGGCAAAGAGGAGACAGACCTTGCCTAACCAGCTGCCCAATTAGCCATCTAGCTGACAACTGGGATAAGTTCTCTGAAGGAAAAACATAGGATCTGGAGGCTGCATAGCTAGGGGTGCTAACTAGTCTGGGGAAACAGAATCAGGGAAGCCTTTAATGAGGATGTAACACTTGACTCATTGCTCATTCATTCAGTGCATTTAGGAATTACTGAGGTCCTTTCCCCTGTGGAAGGCATCTTTGTCCTTGTCCTTCGAAGCCCAGCTCAGGGGAACAGAGCAAGACTGAGGCCTGTACTGGGCCCGGCCAGGTATGTGCCAGGTATGGCCAGGAATGAAGCCCGGAGCTTCAACCAGCCCTGGGCGTGGCCACTGCTCCTAGCTCTGGGATGGTGGTGTCTTGTCCAACCCCTCCCACCAATTCTAATCCAGTGATGGGAACACATAGTGGTACTGGGAGGAGAATGGCGGCGAGACACACAGATAAAGGCTTAGAGAGACTGCCGTCAAGGAAGAAGAAAAACTTTCACCTTGACATCATGTTCAAATAATCACTGCTACCGAGAAGGAAATACAGATGGCTCTGAAGCATATGAGAAGATGCTCATCTGCTCTCATAATTAGACAAATGCAAATGAAAACTGCACCAAGACAGCGTTTGTCACCTGTCAGATTGGCGAGGCTCAGGAAAGGCTTGATAATGTGGTGTGTTGGTGAGGGGGGGCAAAGCAAGAGGGCACGTCACACTCCTCACTGGGACCACAGACAGATACACTCCTTTATGGAAGGTGATTTAGCAGTATCTGTCAGACTGCATACCCTCTGACCCACTAATTCCACTACTAGGAATGTATCCTACCAAGAGCTTGCACACATGTGAAATGGAATACATGCTAATGAGAGCTAATGTTTATGGAACCCTGACCATGTGCCAGGTGTAGTTCTACATGCATCACCTGAATTAACTCATTTAATCAACACAATGAGTCCAGGTAGGTGCTACAGATCTCCCTATCCCTGATCCCTCCTGACAACTATATTTGTCGTAACAAAAGATTATGAACCACTAAAGGCCCATCAATGGGAGGATGGTTGAACAAAGTATGGTCAATCCATAAAAATAGGATGTTATGTAAATAAGGAGCAATCTCCTCAGGCAGTTTCAAGTCAAAAAGAAATGATGCAAAATGAAGCTTGGATAGAATGGGTCACAAGTTAGGTCTTTTTGGAAATGATATGTTCATGGTGTGTGCTGTGTATTTAAACTTTTCAGAGCATCTCTGGAAAGATATAAAGGGACCTGGCAACAATGGTTGCCCATGTGGGTATTTAGGGGCCTAGACAGCTAGGGATAAGCAAAGGAGCCCTGTTATCACTTCCCTTTTTGTATATTTAAAATATCTTTTTAAAGAACTTTTTAATTTGAAATAATCTTGTACTGTGCTGTGCTTAGTCATTCAGTCGTGTCCAATTCTTTGAGACCCCATGGACTGCAGCCCACCAGGTGCCTCTGTTTGGGAATTCTCCAGGCAAGAATAATGGAGTGGGTTGCCATGCCCTCCTCTAGGTGATCTTCCCAACCCAGGGATCAAACTCATGTCTCCTGCATTGCAGGTGGATTCTTTACTGACTGAGCCACCAGGGAAGCCCACGAATACTGGAGTGGGTAGCCTATCCATTTTCCAGGGGATCTTCCTGACCCAGGAATCAAACCAGGGTCTCCTGCCTTGCAGGTGGTAGCTGAGCTACCAGGGAAGTCTGCAAAGGCACTACAGAAAAGTCTTGGATATCCCTCCCCCAGTTTCCGTCTCCCCCAGCATCACTGCCTTGCATCACCATGGTCCATTTGTCAAAGCCAAAAAAGAAACCCACACAGGCATGACCATGGACTAAAGTCCAGCCTCTCTTTGGATTTTATGACATTAGTTTTTCCCTCCTGTCCTCTCTCTGTATCAGGTCCCACACTGCATTTAATCATCATGACTTTTTCATCTCCTTTTTGAACATTTTGAGTCACACAAATTTATTCTCAATTTAAAAAATAAATACAATTAAAAATTAAAAATGAACCTCCTAAACATCCCCAAACAGCAAAAACACAAAAATTTTGCCGGTGCCAAAAAAGGCCCCCACCTCTTGTCCTCCTACCCCTGGGTGGTGGGGGTGAGGGGGTAGGGGCAGAGCCATATGCTCTCCCATTCCTTCCAGTCTGCAGGCTATGCCTCCCCCAAAGCCTTCTCAACCTCCAACTCATCGCGCTCTGGCCCGGTCCCCTGGGACGCTGCATGAATCTCTCTTACACAGCACTTATCACTGCCTGCCTTGTTTCATAGTTATTTATGTATGTGTCTGTTTCCCCAGGGAGACTGTGTACTTCTAGAGAAGGGGACAGGGCCTGTGTGCCCCGTGCCTCCCCTCCCGGGTGTCTGATAGGATGCTTTGACTCATACACATTTGCTGAATTGACATCTTAGCCCGCCCCCATGTCAGGAAGGGGAGGGGGAGGGGGAAGGGTTGCGGGAGGAGGAGAAGGGATGAGTTTAGGCAGCTCAAAGTAACTGACCAGACCTATGAGTTGGTGATCCACAACTAATAATGAAAACAAGTGGTAGTAATAATTATAATGATGCTAATAACTATAATAGTATAAAGTTTTAGGGCTGAATATTTCAAATTTAGCTCTTTCCAGGGATGATTTCATTTGACCATAAGAATAGCTCCTATGATTCAATAAAGTAGGCATTATGATGATACCTGTTTTATAAATGAAAACAACCAATACTTGGGGAGATGGACTGAGCCATTTGGGGTCCACACACCTGCTGAGATTCACATGCAGAACATTCTGACACTGTACCATACTGAAATGTGCATTTTCTACATTTTACTGATGAAACCAAGGCTCAGAGTGGTGAAGTAACCTGCCCCAAGGCAGCCAGCTGGGAAAAGCCAGAACTGAGTTTTATACTTGGGTCTGACAGACCCCAGGCCTGACCACACTGTTCCCAGAGACCCAGTCCAAAGCCCTGAGGTTTGGCCAGAGGACAGGAACCTGGGACTCCTGCATGGGGCAGGGTCCTGTGGCCCCGTGGCCCCCGTCTCCAGTGGTCCCGCCCGGCCCTGCTCACCTGGCACATGAGGACCAGAGGCTCTCGGAACTCAGCCTGGCAGATGGCACAGATGTCACCAGCTTCTGTGCACTGCTGCCCCGTGGCCCGGACTCCGTAATTCTGCTTGACAGAAGGGAGGGAGAAAGACACAAACACAGCTGTGGCCCCTCACTGGAGAGGTACCCTCAGAAGCACAGTGTGGTCTCATCCCAGTTCCCGGCTCCTATGAGCTAGGTGAGGCCCATCAGGAGCCAACTCACCTGAGAGGTGCAGAGAAGCTTCAGGGCCTTCCTGACTCCACCCACACGGCCACAGATGTCGAAGGACTGAAAGGAGAGTGAGGGGATGGCTACAAACTATCCAAGGATGGTTCAGGATCTTTCTCACCATGGGCCTCATTTTGACTCTGAACATCTGCAGGGTACATCCTCCCATCTGAAACTTCCCATTCCCACAAGTTTTGCTTGGCTCTTGTCTTGCTACCCATCAGCAGTCTCCTCTGCCAGTGGGGCAAGGATGGCGAATATATGGCATGCCTACTGCCTCTTCCCCCGCCATAAGCCCAGGGCAGGCATTGCACATCGATCACTCTTCTTCTGAGCCAGGCTGTGATCATCCTTCTCCATCTAGCACTCCTGTCGGCCACGGCCAGCAGATCAGAATCGGCAGGCAAGACAAGCCGTAGTGGCTGACTCTACATGGACTGCCTAGACAGTCCTGCTTTAAGGAAAGGGAACACATGATTCTTCCAGGATTCTCTACAAGCCAGAAATAGATATGGAAAAAGAAAGAGGAGGATGTGCTTATTGTTGGGGGTGGGGGAATCTGAGTCTGCACTAATGATGAAAAGAGAAGCACTCTATACTGACTTGCAGAGTTGAGGGTGTGCAATTTAAGAGGAACAGAAAACAAATTCCATGGCCATGCTGTTGGTGGGTTGAGATCTCCAGATTCTGGAGGTAGCCTGCCTGGGTTTGATGCTCGTTCTGTGATCTCCAGCTGAGTGATACTGGGCAAGATACTTCTCTCTGGACCTCAGTACCCTTCCCATAATATTGACATGATAATGGAATGTATCTGGAAGAGTTGTTGTGAAGAAGACAATGAGAAAGGATGGCATATAGTGAGTTTTATGGGCAAAAAATTAGGATGCCTGTACCCATAAATGCAGGAAAGTATTGACATATGGTATAATGTGGAGGAACCTCAGAAATGACTCTAAGTGAAAGAAGCCAGACACCAAAGATGACAGAGTGTATGAGTCCATCTACATGAAAATGCCCAGAAAAGGTAAATCCAGAGAGTCTTCAGAAAGAAGACCTGTGGTGGCCAGTGGCTGATAGAAGAAGGAAGAGTGATGCTTCATAAGTTGCTGCTGTTGTTTAGTTGCTAAGTCCTGTTCAACTCTTAGCAACTTCATGGACTGTGACCCACCAGGTTCCTCTGTCCATGGGATTTCCCAGACAAGAATCCAGGAGAAGATTGCCATTTCCTTCTCCAGGGGACCTTCCAGCCCCTGGGATCGAACCTGAGTCTCCTGCACTGGCAGGCAGGTTCTTTAGCACTGAGCCACCTTTCTTTGTGGGGTGATGGAAATGTCCTGGAACTAGACAGTGGTGGTGGTGACACAACAATGAGAATCTTCTAAATGCCACTGAACTGTTCACTATAAAATGATAAAATAATTTCATACTGTGTGAATTTAGTTTTTCAGTTAAACAGAAGGAGATTAGGGTGTTTATCCAGGTTCCTCACTTGCCCCTCCCCCCCACCTGCCAGGTCCAGCTGGTGAATGGATTGTCCTTAGGCCAGCCCACTAGCCCCCAGGTCACCTCACCTTGCAGAGGCTGTACAGGACGATCAGGACCCCTCCCAGGAAGTAGCTGTTGGAGGAATCATCACCCATGATGTATTTATACCACAGCTGGATGGGAACGAGGGATCGGAACAGCTGGCTCAGCTCCTCGATGACCAGATAGAACTTTCCCTGCAACCGCACAGAAAGCATCAATTATTATCAGCAGTAAAGACCCAAAGGACCCAGCTGGGGGGCCCTCCAGCCTGGGGAGTATATGACATTCCAGGTCATAGCCAGCCCATTAATCAGCTCTGGAAAGCACTCAGGCCTGCTCCTAATGGGCCTGCGATGTGGCCAGGGAAACAAGGCCCCTGCCCGCTGCCCTCGCCCGCTGCCCTCGCCCACTGCCCACCAGCCCAGGAGATCAACACTCTGAGGATCGCCTTTCAGGGAGGTAGAAACTGGACACCTTTGGTAGAAGGTTGGAGTGGGGGTCACTCCCTGGTGCCTGCTGTGGCTTTGAGGGCTCCAAGCTGATCATGGGGCAACAGTCACTGGCTCTGCACACAGACCATGCTCATCTCTAGGGGGCTGGCCCCAGCTTCACGGATGACTGCCCTCAGTGGCAGGGGCAGGGTGGACCACGGGATGCAGAGAAGGATAGGCAGAGAAGAGGAGGGGAGAAGATGGCCCAGCTCCCCTGCCTACTGTCTCCAAGGAGGCAGGATCGTATGTGGGGAAAGAACATGGACTCAGGGGTGGGGTCTCAGGCTGGTGGGGACTCAGAACCTCAACTTGCTACATGTCCATGAGCCTCACTGTCATCATCTACAGAATGGGAATCACAACTGCTACCTTCTGGGTGGCTCTGAAGATTAAAGGAAATAAACAGGAAAAGTATTTAGGGTTCTCTTTCTCTTCCTCTCTTGGCTTTTATTTAAGTCTCTCAGCTTTCTGGAGCCTGTGCTATAAAATGGACATGAAAACAACCTACCCTGCCATGTTCAATGAGGTTAAACAGAAACCTCTTTAGGACCCAGCAATTCCACTCCCAGGTGTGCACCCAAGAGAAAGGAAAATATATGTCCATTCACTGATAAATGTTCATAGCAGCTTTATTCATAATATCCCCAAACTGGAAACAGCCCCAAACACCCATCTATGGAAGAATGGATAAACAAATTGTGGTATATTTATACAATAGGATATTACTCAGCAATAAAAAAGGAAAAAATGTTTGTGATACACAACAGCCTGGATGAGTCTTACACATTCTAGCCAATCAAAGGAGTCAGATACAAAAGAGTACATATTGTGTCATTGTGATTTACATGAAAGTCTAGAATAGGCCACGGTAAACTGCAATGGTGGAAACAAGATCAGTGGTTGCCTGGGGCAAGATGGGGGAGGACAGACTGTAAAGGGGCATCAGGGAATTTGGGGGAATGAAAGAAATTGCAGATTGTCTACATAAAATTTTATACTGTATATAGTGATGGGGTGGTGGTTATTCGTGTGCACACATTTGCCAAAACTCACTGAAATGTGTGCTTCAGATCTATGTGTTTTGTTGTACAGATATACAACAATTCTGCAGTTCTACAACCTCAATAAAACCGACTAAAACAAACAAACAGCCCTGCCCCAAGCGTGCACAGCCTTAAAAATACGAATAGGGACTTCCCTGGTGGTCCAGTGGTTAAGATCCCGCACTCCCAATGCAGGGGGCCCTGGTTTGATACCTGGTCAGGGAACTATTGGTAGATCCCACATGTCGCAACTAAGAGTTCGCAACTAAAGATTCCTCATGCTACAATGAAGACCAAAGATCCCAACTAAGACCCCATGCAGCCAAATAAATAAATACATAAATAAATGTTTTTTAAAAAGTGAATAATTTTTGTTCCAGCATTTCTACTTCTAGGAATTTATACTAATAAATCAGGGATTTGGGTTAATAGATATGTCAGTAGGAATGGCCACTGCAGCATTCATTGTAACAGAGCAAAAAAAAAAAAAAACCACAAAAAACAGGTGACAAAGTAAATGTGTACAAAGAGGGTCTGGTTATGATAGAGATCAATACTGCAAAGCCATACAGCCAGTCAAATACCATCCTGAAAATAAGTGACTTTGCAGTGAAGAAATCCAGCACATATGGCCTTAACCAAGGTTAATTAAGGTTAACATTCCCAGTAATACATCACTGAAGACTAAACCCCTGATACGCTGCACTGAGAACACAGCATCACTCCTGTGTATTCTGGTCAAAAACTTACAACCTCAGTTGAATCATGAGAAAACAAGAGACAAATATAAACTGAGGAACATTCTACAAAATAACTATCCGACATTCCTCAAAAGCATGACATTCACGAAAGACCAAGAAAAGACCAAGGAATTGTTAGATTGGAGAAGTAGGTGAGTCAAAGTTGCTCAGTCATGTCCAACTCTTTGTGACCCCATGGACCATAGCCTGCCAGGCTCCTCTGTCCATGGAATTCTTCAGGAGTGAGTAGCCATTCCCTTCTCCAGGGGAGCTTACTGACTCAGGAACTGAACCTGGGTCTCCTGCATAGCAGGCAGATCCTTTACCATCTAAGCCAAGACTAGGGAGATGTGACTAATGCAATGTGGAATCTTAGATTTGGTCCTTAGATCAGGAAAAAGACATCTGTGGGACAATGGGCAAAATGTGACAAGGTCTGCAGTTTAGCTACTAGTAAGGGAATTGATCTTAATTTCTTGGCTTTGCTAAGTGAACTATGATTATATTAAATGTAACATTAGGGGAAGCTAGGCGACGGGTACATGGGAACTCTGCTCTATTTTTGCAACTTTGCTCTGAGTTGAAAATTATTCCAAAATAAAAAATAAAAAAAGAAATAATCCTGGCAAAAGATATCTATTGATTCAGGGAAATGCTCATATTATAGTTCCAAGTGGAAAAGCCACAGAATGCAGAAACTACTCATTTTCGTTGTGGTTTTCTGTCTTTTCCAATTTTTTCAGTACTGAGCATATGATGTGTTTAAATTAGAGGGAGAAAAAGGTTATGAAAACATGTTGTGTATCCACAAATGGATGATGTAAAAGGCTATGGATAGAGACTTTATATCCATATTGCTATATTTTGTCTTGATGGCCAGGGTACAGGTCACTTGCAAGGGGACCCCTTGAAGTGGATGTACCCACATCTGCTAAGGACCAAGGACAGGCATCCAGTCATCCGTTCACCCCCATGTCTGACCTTGCAGAATCAAAACCTCACTCCAGACCTGCTGAAGCCCAGAACCATCTGTAATTTAACAAGGTTCCAGGTGATAGGTGTGCACATTTAAGTTTGAGAAGCTCTCTTTCAATGGATAAGTGGAAGAAGGACAGTGCAGTAATGTGGGCACAATGACGGTGTTGCCGAAGCCCAGAGGTGACGGAAAAGATGGTCAGTCTTTGACTATCTTGCTGGGAAGCCTCCTGTTCTGTCCACCTGGCCCCATGATGGGTAAGGATATGACCACCTCATGAAAGGTCCTATGTCCCTGTGTCTCTGCGAACCCCTGCCTGCTGGCATCTGGCTGGCTCTGGGGGACAGACCCTCCTGTCCCCTCTCAGGCTGATCTTGTACCACCAGTCCGGCTTGGTGGGTTAGAGTGCAGCCTCGGGAACCACACAGCCTGTAGTCAGATCCTATTGCCAGCTACCTTGCTATTTCTGTTCCCTCGTCATTGTCTTTGGATTCCCCCAATTCTCAGGCTCCACTGGCTGAGAGCTGGTCCTCTGGTCCAGACCCCACACTTCCCACTGGCCTAATGGGTGAATCTAGAACAAAGGTCAGCGACTTTTTTCTTCTGCCATGGGCCAGATAGTGACTACTTTGGCTTTGAGATCATACAGCCTCTGTCACCACTATACCCCTCAGCTATTGACAACAGACAAACAAATAGGCACGGCTGTAAAATTTTATCTACCAAAACAGGTGTTAGGGCATATTTGAATGCAGCTTGTGGTTTACTGACCCCCTACACATCAGAAGCTAGATAAGTCAAGTCTGGGGGCTCCCAACATATCCCCAGAATTTCAGGGCAGACTAGGGAACAGCCTTTGGGCCCTTCTTTCAGGTGCTTTGTTATGAAGACCAAGCTCCTCCTCTGCAGATGGATGTCTGGTCCCATACTCTTTGCCGAGCTAACACTTGTATATCTTCTGTATCTCACCTAGCTGTCACCTCCTATGAGAACTCTTCCCCAACTACTTAATTAGGTGCTCCTGTTACACCCTTTAAATCCCTCTTTTAGATCACCTCTTACAATATTTAAAAAAACTTATCTCTCTCTTCCTCTGGATTGCAAGCCCCATCAGCATGAAGATAATTTGGCTCCTGGTCATATCGCCAGCAGGCAACACAAAGTCGGTGCTTACTTAAGAGCTAGACACCTTGGAAGCACAAAATTTCCACCCTTATTACTCAGGTCAATGTCTAGAGTTTGCTGATGGAGAAACAGAATTGGAACATGGAAGAGAGTACTTTTCTTTATAAGCAAGCCCTGATGTCACAGAAAATAAAATAAAGGGAGAGAGAAAGCTAAAGGTAGCAATTAGCTGCTGGTGGGGTTGGGGGAGGCACTTGGAGAAGCAGATAGAACCACCGGGGAGAACTGGGCATATCCCAGTGAAACCATCTCTCTCTAATTAAGCAGTTTTATAATTCCAGGTTGCTTAAGCGTGTTATTTCTGACGACCACCAAATGGAATGTGTGGTTTCTCCAGGGTGTCAGAGAACAAGGAAAGCAATCGGATTATGAGCCGTCTGGCCTCCCTGTCACCCGTGAAGGGGGAACAGTAGCAATTGCTGCAGAACTTGGGCATGGAGAGTTTGCTGCTGGGATTCTGATAAAGGGGGCGGTAACAGTTGAGATGGAGAATGCAGATTAGGTTCTGACTTTCTTACTGCTTGGAGGGGGGAGGGAAGGACCACAAGTGAACTGGGAAGCTAGGAAACAACAGAGAGCTGACTCTGGAAGGGAGTGGGAAGTAAAGGCAAGTGGGATGCTGAGAAGCTGAAGGCAGGAACAGAGAAAGAGCACTCTTCAGAAACATACCTAGGAAAGGTGATGTGAAGGATTGCAGGGATGAAGAGGAAGGGGACAGAGACATAAGCAGAGAGTTGTTAGCAGCATAAATGTACAAAG